CGACCCCCCATGTAATAACCTCACGACCCCCTGAGGGGTCCCGACCCCCAGTTTGAGAACCCCTGAGCTAGACACTAAGCTTAGCAAAGTGGCAAGTGCTCTTCTTCCATCCATGTGCTTTTCCCGCTGAACCAATCTCCACAGGTTATTATCCAAGCATGAGGCCACACCTCTTTGTTCCTTCCCTCACCCTACACCCGCTCAACACATGCTATAACTTCATTTTAATTCTCTGCCCTCACGGGATAGCCACCTAGAGATATTTAGATGGATGACGGTCACACTGTGCAGATGGCAAAACATCCATCCTCATCTCAGGCACCTGATTATTTTTAATCATTTAATATCTTTATAGTATTGCTGCTACAGGAAAATAGCTCCCCTCCCCCCTCAATCATCCTTTCCCCCCTTTATATTTGGACCTGATATTTCAAGGTACAATGACTTTTAAGTTCCCTGAATACATCGTTGATTCTCCAAGGTAATGGGAATATATATGTTAAAGGAACATTGTTAAGATTGTAAAGGCAAGGATTTAAAAGTCAGGAAATATAGACGTTGGAAGGTGTGTAGTGAATGAGGCAAAAGAGACGAGGAAAAAGAAAGGAGGGTCTCATGGTTAAGGCTGTTGAATGCTGCCTGGGAGAACTGCCTTCTACCTCTGTTTCTGCCTCTTCTGGATGTTGGGCAAGTCACTTAACCCTAACTTTACACAGGTGGTCACTAACTGTGAGTTGCTCATTTTCCTGACCTGAGACTCCGGGCTCTGATTTGCAGCTCTCTCTGCACTCACAGCTGCAACTGGAGTCAATGGGAGTTGTGCTTTGCATGCAATACTCTGGCATAAAGGCATCCAAACTGGGCATGAAGGGGTACCTTCTCACTTTAATCTCTCAGTGCCTCAGTCCCCCATTTGTAAAAGGGGATAACGCGGGGTGTTGTGAAAATAAAGTCATTAATATTTGTGAAGCACTGAGTGATAAGGACCACAGAAAAGCCACGTGAAGATTTTAATAATTCTGTCTTCAGAGCAGGCAACCTTAATGCTGGTATTTCCTACCGTTACAATGCTTGACTTTACAACCTCACTCATGTTCTTTGAATATAGTTTTTGTGTGTTATTTCCTAGGGTTTTAAAAAAGCAAATTGAGAAAACAAAAATGTCATTGAGTGGCATCATATTGACATCCACTGGGTGATCAGCAGGGTTGGAGCCTTCCAACTGCACAGACCGCTGCCAGGTAAGCTAATGGATAACAGTAGCATCCTCTATGTGGACCAGCACTAGAGGGGAACATTTTGCCAGTGGGTTTCACAGATATTTGCTGACAGCAGAGGAACAGTGAGATTGGAATCTCAGGTGCCACTACGGGCTCCAGAGGGAAGTGTGCCCATTCTCCCAATCGTGAGCCCTGCTGTTCTATTCCCTCCACTCTTGTTTCTTCTCCATCCATAGTTCCATGTCCCAGTCCCACTCTCCTCAGCCAGTGCCAGACCCCGTTCCTCCGGCTTCTCATTTCTGTCTCAGTCTCCTAGCTCACACAGTCCCAATTTCCCACCCATCGCAGCTCCTCATCTGATCTATCACTCTCACCCACTCTGGCTTCCAGTTGCCCATTTCCCCGCTTCTGGTATTCCCCATCCCAAGTGGCCCCCAGTCCCAATCTCCCTCCTGGGGCTCCTCCAAATTCAGTGCCTTATCCCCAACTCCCCCACTTACCCCATCTCTTTGTCCACCCAGTTCCAGTTCTCTGCATGCACCCTAGCTCATCAGATCTATCTCCCCTCCTACTTCTTCTGCCCACCCCACTGATTCTCAGTCTCAGTCTCCTCTCCCCACCCCGATCCTCATCCACTCTCAGACACACCTCCATCTACAGCAGGGGTCGGCAATGTTTGGGCAAGCGGTGCGGGCGAGGGATGTGCTGGCCGTGGCTTCCCGCCGTCCCCATTGGCCCGGGATGGCAAACCGTGGCCAGTGGGGGCCGCGATCGGCCGAACCTGCTGCGTCAGCGGGTAAATAAACTGGCCCGCCCTGCCAAGGTGCTTACCCTGGCAAGCCACGTGCCAAACGTTGCCGACCCCTGATCTACAGGTTCTCAGGCTCCTGTCTCCGTCCTTATTTCTCTCCCGAGCTCCCAGTCCAGTCTCCTTGCCCAGCTCCTTCTCCCAGTCTACTCTTTCCCCCAAGTCTGGTTCATGTCCCCTCTGCATTTGAATCAGGCAGCCTCCTTCTCCATGCTGCCTGGGCCCATGGGTGGGGTGGGGGGGGTCACTGAGAGCATAGGAAATGCTGAGTGTCCCTTCTCTCCATTTTAGTGCCAGGACTTCATGAAACCTTCAGGGAATTTAGCTGCTAAAATCTAAGCAGTCTTTACTGAGCACATGCAAACTGCAATTTTTCAAAGGCTGATAATTTGTCCAAATTTGGTGGATTTTCACAGGGACAGCGAAAGGCATGTCATTGACACAAAGGCCACTTCCTTGCCAAATTTCAAGTTCCTGGCTCCAAAGCATGGGGGTTCTAGAACTTTGGAAACAAAAGGTCATCAGCATTTTTTAGCATGGGCAAAACAATGCATTTTCCCTAACCTTGTTCTTGAACACAGCTGAATTGTTTCGGTTAAAATTTCAAAAAAAAAAAAAAAAAAA